ACTGGGGTATGAGACCTGGCTGCTCTGCTGCCAGCGCTGTGTGTGTCTGGAGGTCGCTTGGGACACGGCTGGGTGCTCTGGGGAGGAAGGTCTGGTGTATCTGCAGTGTCTGAAGCTTGTGCTGCGCTTGGGAAGCCGGGGAGGAGCGGCCCCCCTTCCCTGGGGCAGCGTGCGGAGCAGAGGCTCTTCCCAGGGCGCTCATTCCGGTGGGCTCCCACGCTCTGACCTGGGCTGCTCTGCCAGGGGCTTGGTTTTCACAGACCCTGTGAGCTAGGTTTGGGCTGTGCACAGCCTCTTTTGGAGAGGACGTCTGAGGACGTCTGTCTTCACCCAGCGCTTCTCCTGCCAGGAAGAGAAGCTGGCTCCGGCGGGTGCGCGGGTCTCTGATGGTGCGGTTCTGTCCTCGCAGCGTCTTGGACAGACGGGGCATCTTGCAGCAAGAGGAGAGCACAGCTCAGGAGGAGTCGAGCCCGCGGGGGCCCGGCGCTCAGGAGCCCCCCGCTGCTCCGGGCCCTGGGGAGCAGGCGGAGGAGAGCAGCGCTGCGCAGAAGGACGGCAGCCTTCCTCACCCCAGCGCCGTGAGTGATTCCCTCGGCGGGGGGGCAGGGGGCTGGGGCTGCTGACGCTTCGGGCCGGCAGAGAGGAAGCTGATAGTGCGACTTCGCAGGGACGAAGCAACGCTCGGGGCTTTGCCGAGAGGCTGCCGGGGAGAAGCCTGGTGTGCTCTGGCCCTGGGAACCAGCTTCTCCCCGGAGCTGGCTGGGATGGTGCTGGGCTCCTCTGGCTCCTAGGCAAACCTCAGAGGAAATCGCAGCTGGCAGTGGCTTTGGAGATGCCGGTCCTGCCGCAGGAGCACCCAGGAGCTGGCACCAATGGAGGCGAGGAGGGACGGGAGGTTGCGGGCATCGTGTTTTGGCACCAGGTGCCCCGGGAGGGGCCCTGGCAGGTGTGGGGTCTCCATCCCTGGAGAACACCGTTGCCCCACAGGGTATGGCCCCAAGCAGCCTGCTCTGTCTTTGAAATTAGTTTGAGGGTGTCATTGGACAGGAGACCTCCAGAGTGCCCTTCCCGCTTCAATTACTCTGTGAACGAGGTGGGAAATGGCTGGACCTGCTGCCTGGGCGTGAGCTGCCTGTTTCGCTGGTGGGAACGGTCCAGACCACCTCTGCTGGAGCAGTCCAGTGCTCCCGATCTTCCCGAAGCTGCTGTTTTGCCTGTTTGGTGGCCCCTGGCTTCTCCTTTTCCCAGGCAGAGCTGAGACCGCTGCCCGGTGGAGCTGGAGGCAGGAGCAGGGCAGCGGGGCCGTGTGTCTGTGTGCTCAAACAGATGCTCTGTGTTGGGGTGTACTGGTGCAAGTCACTGCTGCCTTCTCTCTCCAGGTCCCTGCGCCGTCGCTGAGCAGCGCTGAGATGCCGGAGGAGAAGCAGCTAACATCTGGGGAGCTCCCGGTCCCGTCCCAGGACGCTGGGCAGGCAGAGCACTAGCCTCTGCTTGGAAGGGAGAACTTTCTTGTTTTGTCTAATTGAAGCTGGAAGTGATTGAGGAGAGGAGGAGATGGGCTGGATGGCAGGCAAACGATTCCTCATGGCCATTTTGCTTTAGTCGTCATTCGCCTCGACGCGCAGGCGGAGCGGGCTGGCGCTGGCCTCGCGTGGTGTCCCGGGATAGCGAGCGGGAGTC